TCCCAGGACCCTGAGATCATGACCTGAGCCGAAGGCAGACGCTTAACGACTGAGCCACCCAGGCACCCCGATAAACAAATCTTAAAAAAAAAAAACAAAACCTAGTATTTTTGGAAAAAAAAAAAAAGGTACAAAAGGGAATATAGACCCTTGAGCCCTCTCCCTACTACAGTTTGCTAGAGCAGCCTTTCAGGACATTTATCTGTATCTATACTAATATCAACAACTTCCATCTATGTCTCCCTTCCTTATTAAATACAAGTCGGAACATATGACACATAACCTTGTATACCTTTTGGTTTTTTTCCACACTCAACAATAAAACTTGGCTGTTGTTCCACACTATTATAGACAGAACAGTTCTTTTATAAGTCTGCAAGGCATTTCATTGCCTGAGTATACCAAAATGTAATTAACCTGTCTTTTCTTAATGGACATTTAGGTTGTTTCTAGTCTCTTGCTATCATGAACAAAGCTACAGTAAACAATCTTACTATATACGTGTCCTTGCATACATAATAGTGTAGGACAATTTCTTTGAAGTAGAGTTGCTAGGTCAGAGAGAATGAAAAATCACTGATTGCCAAATTACCTGACAACAGCGTTGCACCAGCTTACACACCCATCAATGACGTGCACTGCTCATTTGCTTCCCCAACCCTGGCCAACACTTGCAGTACTTAAATTTAAAAATCTTTGCCAATCTGATAGTGAAAGTAATATTTCAGTGCTCAAATATGCATTTATTTAATTCTGAATGAACTTGAGCATCTTTTTATAGGTTTAGAAGATATTTGTATTTTCTTTTTTTCTGCGAAATGTGTTTTTGGTTTTGGATATTTAAAAAAAATAATTCAACAGGAAAATAGATAACCTCTGCTAACTTTAAAGGATCTCATCTTCTATCCTTTCAGAAATTATTTTCTGAGCTCTTGGAAAGATCCTCACCTAGAAAATCTTGGTCATGCTGTCAAGATCTTTACTATGAAGTTTTCAGATAATGAGAGCCCTTCAGGACCTTCCTCTAAATTAGAGACACTTTCCCACCATTTGTTTCTCTTTCTATTCCAATTAAAGAGTTATCTATAGGGAACCCTTGGGTTATGTTCCTCCCTCCCCTCCTAATGTTCTTGCCTCCTAGGAATTGATGCTATTGAATAGTTGAGTGGTCTCTTTAGCAAATGCACACACCTGTTGGTGCTTACATCTTTCAACACCCTCCCCCTGCCCCCCAACCATATGATTTAACTTCCTCCAAGTACTTTTGAAAATTTTAGACTAACGCTTCCAGAGCACTTACCCGGAATTCTATATATTCTCTGGCACTGGAAAGAGCAGTGGCGTGGTCATTATGGAGACATAGGCTCCAGATGTGGTTCTCCTTCCAACTGGATGTTTGGTCTTGTAGAGCCTCTTGGTCTCTCTGCACCTTAGGGAGCACCTTAAAAACATGTGTGGTTCTATTAAAGAGTTCTGATATTCCACTTTTCATTGGAAAGATTGCTGCTGTTGTAATCATCCTTAATATCAGTTATATTTGGGCTTTTTTTTGTGATAAGGAAAACAAGTTACTGGCTTCTAATGAGAGGGTCTCTATTGTGTCTAAAAGGCATTTGTGATGTGTGTCCCAGCATTGATACTGTTCTCTCAGTTCATTAGGCTGAGCCAGTTGTCTCGGCTGAATGAAATAGGATTCTGTGAAAGGAAAATACTTGAGGATGAGCATGGATGTACCATGCATGCATGCAGTGGTGAAGGTGAGGAATTTCCCACTCAGTGACAGGGAGACCTATAAGGGATAACCTGCCACTACTCATGAAAACCGCAATCTGGCCTTTTCTCCTCTTATTTGTTCTGTGTTGCTTTGCTAGTGCTAAGTGACATGGAGAATAAATCCCCTATGCCTATTAAAGAACCTCTATTCTTTTCTAAATCTCTACTGCTTTCTCCGATCAACCAGTGAAGAATTATATATGGTGCTCAAGAGATCAGTTTCAAGGTTAAAAAAAAGAAAGGTTTAGTTCTTTATACTCTTTTCATCACCACCACATCTCCCTTTAGAGCTCTTTATTTTGTTTTTATATGTCTGTTCTTTTGCTGGCTGCTTTCCTGTTCTTGTTCAGTCTATAATATTTTATTTTGGAATGAAACATTTTATTCAATTGGGAATTGCCTTCGAGTACCTGAGCCTACCAAACAACAATGCTTGGAGTGGAATGGGGGCCCCAAGGAGTAATATGGGGAGTAGAAAGGGGCAAAATTCTTCAGCCTTGTTACCCATGACTGGAACTGTATCCTCTCCCTACAATCCTTCCTTCTAAGAATAACCTTCATTGTCCCTAAAGGTTAAGGGAAAATCATCAAATGAGTTTAAACATTCCAAGGCTTTTGTGTCCATATGGAACATATGATTGGCAGGGAGTCTCAGGGGCTAACTAACTGACTAGAAGCTCAGGAATTGAGTTGTATCTTAAGCTCTCCCATTTATGATTAGTAACCTTGAGCTCACCACTAACTCTCTCTGTCTCTAATTTTATCAAGTGATAAGTGGAAACAATTGGACCATCCATGGGGTTTTGTTGAGGAGAAATAATTGCAATGATTATAAAGTTATTGTGGAAGAACAGAGTGCAGCATAAATGCTTAATATTACAGCCATCCTAAGCTTTTAATCTCTAGGAGCATCAGGGAACTTGAACTTAAGTATATGAATTTGAATATGTGGTTGCTTTTCTCTCACCCAGGTGTTATTTGAACTTGCCCGCTATCACGCCCCCTCCACCATCTTCCTGGACGAGCTGGAGTCAGTGATGAGTCAGAGAGGCACAGCTCCTGGGTAACAGACAGGGTTTTTGTTTTTTTTTTTTTGGTCATCACTTCTCTCCTCTTGTAAGTGTGTTTGATGGTCGGAAGCCCATCGACATTTACCAGCAGAATGAGCCTATTAATAAGCCCACAAATTTTCTGCAGACACATGGAAAGGTCTTTAAATTAGATCCTGTTAACTGAATAGCTGATTTAAGTAGTTTTTATAACCGGAGGAAATGTCATCCTCCCTTCCCCCTTCCCCCACAGAGTGGTTTTCAGGCCTGAAGATCACCCAGCCCCATGATCCCAGGCTGCCATAACGGTCTTGCTGGCTCAAAATAGCTGTTGTGACCACGTCCTCTGGAGCCAGAGGGGCTGCCTGCGGGGAATGGGGCTGCAAAGGCCAAGTCCCGAGAGGCAGCCCTCGACAAGGTGTGTGAGGCCAGGGAAGCCACCACTTCTCTGTGACATCAGGTTGTGGCTCAGCCTGATTTTAAATATGTCACATATGTCATCTCTAAAGACTAAGTGTCCACTAATGTCCCCAGCAGGAAAGAACACATCTCAGACTGCAGTGAGCCTTCTGTGTGTGTGTGTGTGTGTGTTTTAAGAAAGTCCTTCTGTCTTAGTCAGAAGTAAGTATTCTTCTTTGAAACTTTTTACTAAACCTGGCTTGGAAGAACACGTCTCTGGGCAATCTCAACAAAGCTGCATTTATTAATGGCCTCTAATGGCCCATTATCAAGGAAGAACTAGTAGTAATAAGAGGCAAATATTTAGCTTCTTGGATGTATAACTACAATATAATTTATGAAATTTTACTTATTGAAAATCATTTTCCTAACGGCAAAGCAACCATTAAGATGCACCCAAGAGGCATGGAATCGGTAGCATTGACTTAAATGGGAAAATTGCCATGGCTTTAATGGGTGCTAGTCAGCCCCAGGCTGGGACACCCTGTCTTTCTAGTCAGGACCTGATGGGAGCAGACCAGTGCACAGGCACCCGGCTGGGCACCCATCACGCAGATCACCCTGGTGCTCACCCCATCTGCGAAGACCCGGCCCACCTGGCTGCCTTACCATAGTGATCTGTGCACTTGGGCTTCATTCGCTCTGTCCATCTCCACTGCCAGGCTTCCCCACAGCTTTGAATGTGCTAATTTGGGAACTTCATCAACTATCCTTGGGTGGGCTCCCAAACGTCAGCTTCCTTGTCTGGAACTTGGGCCCTAAAAGTAGAGTCTTCAAAGGGTCAGGGAATAAGGGCAGGTGCTCTGAAGACTTCGTGGGTCATATGATGTTAAGAGAAAAATTATGAGCAAATGCTAAATAAATATACAACTCTACTGTGAGACTCTCCTTTCTCTTAAGAAAGGTAGTTTGATTGTGAGTGGCACAGTTCTTGAAAAAACACATACCTAATTGATGCTGCCACCATACACACGCAGAGATGAGAGGCTGAATGTTGTGCGGTCCGAGAAATGCATTTTTTGTCCTTTTACTTCAATCTATACAAGTGAAGAGGAAGGAGAACCTGCTGAATGTAGTCAGTATTTAGAGCCGATTTAGATTGTTAGGTCCTGTAGTGAGATCCTTCTTGTTGGGAGGGTCTTTGGCCGTGGTGGAGGTGTTGGCTCAGAAGGTGAATTTGCGCAGAAGACAGCCTCAATCTGCTGTGTAAGGAAAGCATACTTTCCATGTCATTATCTTGGTTATTAGAAGAGAATGAAATAGATTCATTGTAGTAGCTCATCTCTCTTCTTCAATAGATTATATCCACAAATTATACTAAAAGAAATACTGTGTATAAGAGTACTTTTATGCCCGCTACAGAAATGAAAGGATTCTTCTCAATGACACTGTTTCCACCAAGGGCAGATAGTCCTGCAGGTAGACACAGCCTGGCTGCATTAAGTCCATCAGGGCTGTCTACTTTTCAGCTGTTTTCTAGTTCACTGCCAGCCTGTGGCTTTCTTTTCAATATGGTCAGTATGTTCATTTACTTCCTTTCTATCACCCTCTTTGTGAAGAGAGTACCAAACTGCTTGTTTCCTCCAACTCTAGTACAAGTGGCTCCTTAGAATGAGGCAGGGAACATGTTCTACAGGCACCGAGTCACTGATGTGAATGCAACTCTTGTCCTGGGAGCAAAGGCTCCACGTCTTGGGAGACCCTCACCTCTGTGTCTCTCTGTAGGGGAGAGCATGAAGGAAGCCTTCGAATGAAGACAGAGTTACTGGTGCAAATGGATGGGCTGGCTCGCTCAGAAGATCTCGTGTTTGTCTTAGCAGCCTCTAACCTGCCATGGTAAGAGATCTTGTTACAGTTTGAATACATTTTTAAAAAAGATTTATTTATTTGAGAGCAAATGCCCTAGAGGGGCAGAGAAAGATGGAAAGAGAGAATCTCAAGCGGACTCCCTGCCGAGCGCAGAGCCCTCTGTGGGGCTTTATCCCACAACCCAGAGATCGTGACCTGAGCCAAAATAGAGTCTAATGCTTAACTGACTGAGCTATCCAGGTGCCCCTTGAATACATTTTCATGAGCCACTGAGTACGGATGAAGACACTGTGTTGACCATTTTGGGCAAAGGCTCATTGTTTGGTTCCAGCCCTGGGGGATTAATCGGAAGTCTTTCCTGGTCAAGTCCTCAGTCCTTGCTATCTGTACCGTGAAAGAATCTGCCTTAATAGAAGGAACATAGGCCAGGCCTACCACTAACAATATTTAAAATGGACATTTTGGGGCACCTGGGTGGCTCAGTTGGTTAAGTGTCTGACTTCAGCTCAGGTCATATCTCAGCGTCCTGGGATTGAGCCCCATGTTGAGCCCCACCTCAGGCTCCATGTTCAGAGGGGAGTCTGTTTCTCCCTCTCCCCCTGCCCCTCTCCCTGCTTGTGTTCTCTTTCCTTCTCTCTCTCTCAAATAACTAAATAAAATCTTTCAAAAAATAAAATGGACATTTGGAGTTTCAAGTCAAATTATTTACTATATTTGAGCAGGGCTTTGGCAGAGAACTATAAAATGCCAAAGTGTTCAGGCAGGATTCAAGGAATATTCCAGAAATAATATGTTTATACTTTAACAGTATTAAAATCAAACTTTTTTTTAAATTAGGAGGAAAATCTTTAATGTTGCATAGTAAATAGGAAGCTAAATAATCTCTAATTGAGAATATAAACTACTCTCAGAGTCTTTTATTTAAATTGTATCCCAGAGTGGTTTAAGAACAATTCTAGAAGTGGAATTGGGAAATAAGAGAGTTTGACTAGGGAAAAACAATATCTATTTGGAGAGTATATTTAAAAAAATAATTATAGTCTCTTTATAGTTCCAAGAATATTTTCACATACATTATTTCTTTTGAGCTGCAGGTAAGACAGGAGACAGATAAGGGAGTGCTGTTTTTCCCATTCACAGACAGGGAGGAAGGTCAATCCACCCAAAGTCAATAGCAAATCTGCAACAGAGCTGGGACTTGTCACACTATCCCCCGACTCTCCCCCCTACCCCAACCATTTCTGTTTCCACATGCAAAGACAAAAGAGAAACTCTTCTGTTGTTTCTCTTGCTGGTCATCTAGGCTCCCAAAGAAGTCACTGAAAAGAGATGGTTATGTTCACATGTAATCTGTTATTTTAAATATATTCCTAATTTCAACCTGGTTCCACCTCCCCTTAAATTTGTAAGACTTCACTAATGTGTAAGGTGATCAGCATTTATGTGTTCATGATAGAGGTATTTATATACAAATATTAAAGTGACGTCCAAGCAGAGAACTGTCATTTAAATGTGACTGTGAAATCCCTCAGAGAAGGAATCTCCATTGCTTCATCCATTTGAAATAGGGTTGATCATATGCACTTTACTCCTGTCCCAGGTGATGTGGGAGTCAGCTGGAGAGGGTCTGTGCATGGCTCTGGGAACGTCTGTGCACCCTGGGGGAACCGACACATTTTCTACAGGAACAGAAAACCCTCTACTCCCAGTGAATACCTAGGACTTTGTTGAGGAAGTTACTGTGCTGCCACAATTTCCCCTAGGTGATCAGTTTTTGGTAAACCCCAAATAAAATGATCAGAGAAGAAAAAAAAAGGCAATCAATCAAATATTAAAGCTTAGAAGTCTTTTCCAAAAGAATTGCCCCTCATCATGGTAAATGACAAATACGCGCATGCTTTTGAGCTTTGCCTGCATCATTACAATGTACCTTGGAACAAATATGTTCTTTCTGACCCATCCTTGAGCAATGCTGGGCTCTAGAAAAACTTATTATGAAAAATTCCAAACAGACACTAAAGAAGAGGAAAAAGCACCCACCATTTCCCAGTTTCAGTAATTAACATCTTGCCCAACTGATTTATTGATTTTTAAAGATTTTATTAATTTGAGAGAGAGAGCGCGCACAGAGGGAGAGGAAAAAGCAGGCTCCCCACTGACCAGGGAGCCCGACATGGGGTTTCATCCCAGGATCCTGAAATCATGACCTGAGCCGAGGGCAGACGCTTAGCCGACTGAGCCACCCAGGTGGCCCTTGCCCAGTTGATTTAATCTATTCCTGCCCCCTCCCTCGTTTTGCTGCAGGACCTTAAAGTATATCCCAGATTGTCCTGTCCCTATCGTCATGTCACCTCTCACAATATACCTCAGTATACATCTTTTTAAAAAAGGACATTTTCTTCCATTACTGTACAATGCCATTACCACCCCCAACAAGATTAACAGTAATTCCTCCATATCGTCTAATACCCAATTTACATTCAGATTTCCCAGACTGCTCCAAGATGTCTTTGTACAATTAATTTACTGAACTGGTATCCAAACAAGGTTTGAATTTTGTAATTGGTTTTTCCTTAAGTCTCCTTTAATCTAGAACATACCTCCTCTCCCTTTTTTCCCACTTGCCATTGACTTGATTGTCAGGGAAACTGTCTTGTAATACATCTAAACTGTCTGGATTGCGCTCATTGTATCCTTTAGTGGGAAAAATAATATTTAGAGATTGCAGTCTTACAGGGGTGCTCCTTGCTAACTGGGTTTTCATTGCTTCTTGGCCTTTTAATTGGGCAGAACTAGGGGAAATACATAGTTTTAAAAAGAAGCAAATAATGACTTCATACTAGTATTTCCCATCCAAATTTAAGACTACAAGAGCTTTAGTTAAATTATTTGATTATATTTGTACCTTTTCTCTAATTGTGAAAATCTTAGTTCTTAACATTAATATAATTAATAATCACTTAATCCTAATATGTAGATATATTTTGTATTTGTGTATGGAAGAGTTTCTCAGTAATAATACCAATACTCTCATGACAGCAATATTTTGATGAGGAAGATGGTACACACCTGGCCTGAGATGGAAGTGCTAATTCAGGATTTCTTAACCTCAGCACTACTGACATTTGGGGCCAGATAATGCTTTGTGGGGGCTGTCCTGGGCATTGTATGGTGCTGAATAGCATCCCTGGCCTTTCCTCACTAGATACCAGTAGCACAACCCTCCATTGTAACAACCAAAATTTGCTTTCAGACATTGCCAAATGTTCCCTGCGGGTGGCGGGGGGAGAAGGGGGTAAAATCATCCCCAGTTGAGACTCACTGAACAGAAGGAAGTGACAGACATTGTATAGAAACAAACTGTCACATGCCCCACAGATGAACTCTCAAGGGTTTTTTTTAAAACCCCCCAAATAATTGAATTTGGTTAACTTACACAAAAGGTGGCATATTATATAAATTGTTCTGTATCTTGATTTTTTTTAACAACATATTCTGAGCAGAAAGTTTTTACTCCCTTTATAGCTGTGTATGTTCCATTTTGTGCATATGATAATCTATCCCAATCACCTGATGATGGGCATTTGGGTTATTCCTACTCTTGCTATTATGAATAATGTTATAATGAATAATGGTGCACATCTATCACTTTGTGTATTTGCCAGTGTATCTTTGGGATAGGTTTCTGGAAATAGAACTGCTGGGTCAAAGGGTTAATGGGCATGAAATTATAGTAGAGATTGCCAAATTTCCCTCCATAGAGGTTGTACATTTTGTATTCCCACTAGTGTCCTGCTTTCATTACTTAACTTTATAGTGAGAACGTTTCCAAAGTCATTAAATAATCCTTGAAAATTGGATTTTGTAATGGCTGTCCAAAATTCCCACATGTGAATATGCCACAATTTAGTTAATCATTCCTTTCCTGTTGAACATATATGATGCTCCCAACTTTTCTCTATTATAAATAACACTGAAATGAACTTCCTTGAATAAAAATCTTTGACCAAAATTTGGGTTTTTTCTTGAGGACAGACTTCCGGAAGTAGGATTACTGTATAAAAAGGACGTGGATGGTTTTTAAGCCCCTGGCTACATACTGCCCAAGTCCATCTATGAGGAGATACTGTGTTCTTATTGAGGCTATTGGAACAGACCTTTCTCCTGGCTTCAGTGTCTTACATGAGGGAACAAAATTATCTGATTAAAGCAGACAGTCCTTCTGGGGGAAATAACTAAATCATACCAAACTATATAAAAACCCAATCTTAAAATCCCCAAAGAGATTCTTCATGGTTGGTTAGTGGTAGTTCTCACCTACAGCTTCTTTCAGGGCACGAGGCTATCATTTACTACTTGTTAACTTACCATCTTCCCTGAGGGGGGAGTCCATTCCGTCTCAAAGGGTTGGTCAGTTTTCCCTTCTCAGCAGTGAGATGGTGTGCAGCCTCTCTACCAAGGAGCACCTTCCCTCATCTATAGCATCACAGAGACGACTGGAAGGAAGCAAGAAGTAACAGTGTGGCTGTGTCATTTAATGTGTAAATAAGCAATGAGGAGAATAACAAATGTTGCATTTGTAATATTATCATTAAAATAACAGCCATGTAAGAAATGTTTAGTGAGAACAATTAGGGCTAATTTGACCCACCTCAATTGTTAAGTATGCACAAACTCACGCCTAAGAGTCCAGAGGGAAACAAAATACTGAATAGGGCCATTAAGGCAAATGCCATCTTTAGATGTCTATTGAATTTGATGGTAGTTTGTACAAATAAGGTGTGAAAATTTTATGTGTGGAGCATGAGGAAACTCATCTCTTATTAACTATTGCAGAAGGGCTAGAAAGTTCACTCTCCTTCTTAAAAATCAAACACTAAGTATGACCAAACTTTGGATTAAAAACAAACAAATCCCAATCCTAATATTCAGAAGGAAGCACAAGATCCAAAAGATTATTGCCCTGGGAACGTGCAAGAACTTACCTATGTAAACTGACTTCTTCCTGTACGAGCTGTCTCCTCTCT